AAAATGAAAGTGCTTTTGAATACTGTCCCATGGCGTTATACACACTACCAATGTTATTGTATGAAGTAGCCAAACCAGGATGATTTGAAGGAAGAGTTTTTTCTTGAATTTCAAGTGCTTTTTCGTAGTACCAAATAGCCTTTTCATAATCATCTTGATACAAGTGGACAGTTCCAAGCTGATTATAATAATGCGCTTTTTCACCCTCATTCGATGTCTGTTCGAGTAATACGTTATAAAGTTCTTCAGCTTTATTAAATTGACCAATTTTTAACAATAAGTTACCCAATCTCTGCCATCCAGTACCACCACTAGCTTGTTCTCGTATTCTATCAGTAAGTAATCGTAGTTGTTGGTCATCATCCGACGTTAGTTGTAATTCAACTTGATAAAGTTCATTCTCATTGTCTATTTGTTTAGTTGCACCCACCCGAAATACGGTGTGCATTGAGAAGAGAATTTCTGCTTCTTCCTTGAAATAACTCTCCTTTTTGATGGAGGCAAATGGTGTTGATTTAATACAAGGATCAATGGACATTATGAAGAAAATGCGAACCATGTCCACGTTTTCTGACGCGCTATAAGCAAGTCCAAGAGCTATGTCTTTCTCCGTAGTAGTGGATAAAAAGTTGTTGAAAGATATTAAACCACCTTTTGTCTTTTGCAGTTTTTCGAAAATTGCTTTGGATAAACCTTGTCCCCGATAAACGATGAATGGTTTGGCATGATAACTATGCACTTGTTGTTGATGTAGTCCTTTGATTTGTTGGTGAAGATCATGAATGAAAAATCCCATATTAATAATAGTATCGCCATCCATAGAGCGAAGGGCATAATTGAGCATTGAATAGATATTGGATGGAAAAGTATACCACCAAATAGCTAATTGATCATGGTATTCTTTCTCAAAACGGTCAATATTGATTGGTGATACGCTGTTAGTATTTCGACAATAGACAGTAAAGTCTTTGATGGCTTGTTTACCATGTTTCATATCAAGAAGAATGTCCTTGAATATTTGGGTGTACATAAATGTTGGCTCCAACTGATTTAAATTACCAGTCGGCTCCATGTGATTTGCTGTGACAAAACTCATTGCAATCGAATCTCGATTGCATTTCTTGATATCTAAACGTAATGCTTCGCATAAGTCATCGATGTTGATATGAACGCTCTTAATTTTTCGCCATTTTGTTGCCCATTCTTCATGTAAGGATTTATTGTTACTGAAGCGATGCATACCATGCAGCTGAGGAATATCATTGATGAGGGGCATTATTTGTTGAGTTATAGTATGTTCGGCAACAAGAAAACACTTGATGTCTGGACAATCTGTGAGAAAGTCAATGCATTCATCTCGTTGCTTAAAAACATTGACATCGTTAGTAACAGTTCGTAATTGGGCCAAGTTATTTTGGAAAACATCGTTTGTTTCGTCCATACTTTCATCTAACCAGATGAGTGAATAGTTTCGAACCATCCGCCGTCGTGGTTGAATAACATCAGATGATAGTACTGTTGTATTATTGCTATTCATGAACGCATTTACTGATGAGGAAGTATCTTGATTTGATTCTGATTCACTCATTTTTTCCTTATTATAATTTGATGCTGAATATAAGCTTGCCAATAATTGTGGTTGTTGTT